TGGGAAATGGCCCCGGGGCCCCGCTGTGCTCACCCTGCCTGCATCCCTCGCCTGATCTGTCATTGTGGCCCCTGCTGCTCACAGCCTATCTTTCCCCAGAACTGCAACCCAGTAGGGGCCTTAGCCCTGCACATGCAGGACAATGATGGAGGCGCAGACAACTGTTTTACAATTCTACATTTTTCTCCCACAAATGCCCATTTGGTCACCAGAGCTCATGGTGGCTCACTGGATGGGCTGTGCTAACTATAGCGCCCGGCTCGAACCCGAGGCCTCCAGCGGCACATACTGCCTGCCTGCTCTTCCTGCTGCACCAGCGAGATGGTGTCCAGGGCAGAGCTGAAAGATCGCAGCAGGTGTTGTGGGGCCTTGGCACAGAGAGTGCACCTCAGTCTGCTCGGCGTCTGGCAAGCAGTGAAGGCGGGGCCCAGGGCCAGACTCACTGGGTTCAGATCCCAGCCCTGTCATTTCTGTGTCCTCAGACCTCAGTTTCCTCATCTGTACAACGGGGACACGACAACTTCCACTGCACAAGGTTGCAGCAAGGCTGAGGGAGCTAACAGAGGTATGGTGCTCTGGGAGTGTGCCTGTGCGGTGTGAATGACAACTATGGTCGCCGTTGCTGGTGCTACTGCTCCTAACCGGCTCCACATTTCCTTCCAGCGTACAGAGAACAACTCCATCTCCCCACAAGCCTCAGTGCATGAGCAACAGCAAGCAGCCTCTGGCCCAGGATGATCATTTCCCGTCCTCCCCCCACTGAGGTCCCCGGTTGAGCTCTCCTGGCCCTCCTTGACTCCCAGGCTTGGGTGAGGCTAGCCTCAGCCTCCAGTACCGTGATCCCTCCTCTACCAAGGATGCATGGAAACATTTCTATGCCCTCAAACTGGAGCCTGCCTTCAGGCCTCCGTGGGGCTGGGGAATGTCAGTCACCCAGGTACACACAGCTAGCTGCTCTTCTACAGCCCCTGGGTGGGTCTTCCACTGCCCCGTGGTCAAGAGCCTCCAGGCAGCAGGCCCCACCTTCAGTGGTGAGTCCCGACTGGCCCATGATGGTCTCATTCCCTGTGCCAGTGATAGGTTGAGACATGTTCACGTGACCCAGTTCTGACCAATGAGCTAGAAGTCTGTGCAGGGCTGGGGATGCCCCTTCTTCAGGTTGAGTTTCCTCCTGCCTGCCCAAGACTCCTGGAACTGCCCAGCCCAATACACAGGGAGCAACACTGCCAGGCTGGTGGCCAAATAAAGGGATGGAAAGATCCAAGTACTGATGATATCAAGTCTTTAAGTTAACCAACCTTGAAACAGCCCAAATCTTATCACATGAGATTCAGCCTTCTTCTGGTTTAAGAAGTCGGGCCACGGCTTTTCGGTATTTGCAGTCCAAAGCATCCTTGCTAATAGTCCCAGATCACCTTTCATCTTCCAGAGATTAAGCCCATCGCGGCACTCAGGGAAGGCTTTCTGGAGGAGGGGACTCTCAAGTGGACTCTACAAGAATGAGCAGGCGGACAGAGGGAGCAACATCCTCGGTAAAAGGATGAGGCTGGACCAAGGGCTGAAGGCTGGAGACGCCAGAAGGCTGTGGGGGACACCAGAGATCATCTGTGTCCTGGGATCCTGAGGGTTGAGACTGGAGGGTCAGGCACATCGGCCACAGGGCAGAGCAGAGCTCCAGGCCGACAACAGGTGCGCTGAGCTGTCCTTCTGACCCACTCCAGCCACACCCAGAAGCTGCCCTAGTACTGGCAGCAGAGCCCTGCAGGCAGGGTCACCAGGTTCGCCTTCTGCCAGGTGTGCTCTGCTTGCCAGGTTTCTTCCAGCCCCCGGGGCACTCATCAGAGACTCTGGCAAATACACGACTGAAATCTAGGTCACTCTGTGCACGGGTCACAAATCCATCACTCAGACAGTCACTAAGTGCCTACAAAACGGTGTGCTCAGGGCAGCGGAGACAGGCCCGGTTCAAATCCCCAGCTGTGTATCCCTTACTGTGTGACACTGCCGGGCCACCGTATTCCTGCAAGCCTAGTATCTCCCTTGCATGTAAGGCAGGAATAGTGGGGTTGGGCAGCCCGTGAACTTCCAGGGACCAAGGTTTATAACCCAGTAGGGACAAGAAGGCAAGCACATGATGTGCTGTTCAGGGACAGAGTGGAGAGGAAGCATCCATCGGAGACCATCCCGAAGGAAGCAGGAGATCTCCTTGGGATGAGATGAGGGACACACATTTCTGCCAAAGAGAAGGTCCATAAGGGCTGGCTGTGAGGAAGTACAGGCGGTTTCATTATGGGCTCCCGTGTCTTTTCAAAGAGCAAGCATCATTTGCAATAGGCAACAGCAGAAACTCTGGGTGCTACCACTAATTCTATGACTCTAAACCAGCCATTTAACCTTTGCGCTCCAGGCTCCTCCTTTGCAGAGCTGGTAAAATACCTACCTGACAGACACCACAGGGGCAAGTGACTCATTCTTCTTGGGGAGGAGGATTGTAGGGGAGGGGCCAGTTTTTCAAGTGATATCAGTAGACCCGGGGGCCTGAAGCAGAATTTACTGGAATGGGGGGCAGGATTCCAGAAGAGATGAAAGATGGACCGGCTGGAGGCACAGAGTGTGAAGGGAAAGAAAGTAAACTGGGGATCACTGGAGTCTTTCCTGGGACAAAATTTGGGATCTGGATTAGAAAAGGCCTTGAATGTCATGTCAAGGGCTTGACCCTAAGGAGTGACTGACAGATTTTGAACGGGCAGCACTGAGACACTTGGGATGCTGCGCCACTTTGGGGTAAATAGGTTTGTGGGAGGAGGGTGAGGCCACATCTGGAGGACAGGTACTGCAAGAAGAGTCCAGGAGAACCCAAAGTACTCTCCAACAGGTGATTTCTGCAAACAGCTTAAGTACTAAGTCAGCAGCTCCATGTCACTTGAACACCTGCTAAAAGCCACTGCCCACCTCTGCCATGCCGTGCAGAGCAGCCTGTGAAAAGCAGCGGTCAGGCTGCACAATCTCCATGTCACACACGGTCATGACAAGAGCTGGAGGAGAACTGCCCAGCCCCAGCCGCTCAGTCAATGAGAGGGTTGGTCACAACCTGAGTCACAGCCTGGGCCCCGCCTGGGCAGCAGAACGCAGATTCTTGGTCACTTGACAAATGTGCTTGGAACCTGGAGAAAGGGAGATGACCTTTGACCTCGGAGTCATCTCCAGTCGGAGGGGGCAGGGGGACCCAAGGAAGGGTGGGTTTTGCTGCAGGCCAGCAGGGGCTCACCCACCCCAGAGCCAGGTCTATGGATGGGCTCTCCAAACTGGACCCTGATAGGCGCAGGGGGTACTGGAAGTCCTTCCACAAAAGGGCAAGGACAGAGGGAGCCACTTTTTGCTGCTTTGCTAAGAAGGCCCTCAAAGCCCCCTCCTCCGAGCATCCAGGCCCGGGTCACGGCCGCAGCCTGAGTCATCATGCCCATCTGAATGGTAGCTGTCGGGGGTGAATAAGGGCCAGGGGTTGAAAAAACAAGGCCGTTCTGTTAACCTCCAGGCCTGGCCCTTCCGGATTGGTGAGGGGGTGGGGTGTGCAGAGGGCAGGTAGATGAGAGAACCCAAGGTGTCAACAGCCAAAGGGGGCTTTGTG